GTGCAGCCATTGTGCCCAGTTTCTTGTACCCCAGTGCGAGCACACGGGCACCTTGTCTGGACATCTCCTGGTGTACCTCATCATAGTTGTCTGGGACACTGGAATACTACAACAACACAGAGCCAGATCAGGATTTCATGCAGGTGTGGTATGTTCTGCCAAGGTGCTGAGGAAACTACAGTATGCTTACAAATCATTTACGCTCTCTGAGTGCTGTCTACCCAAACGTGGTATGTTACAAGCCTCCCCCTTACAGAACCCCTCCCCCATGCTCTCACCATGGCCCTCAGCGTCTCAGGCGCACCCTTGACCATGGCCATGTACAGGTTCTCCACCGAGCCCTGCTGCTCCTGGGACGTGATGACCGACATCCGCTTCAGCGCGCTGGAGAAGTGGTACCGCTGCACGATCTTCATCGCCTTCCCCGGGTTTCCACGCGGCGGGATCACTGCATCACCTACCGACGAGCAGAAATCAGTTTTGCAGATAAATATAGGATACAACATGGAGTATTCAGTATAACCGAAGGTGCCAGCCCAACTGCAGGTTGGATCACCTGATGCATTTAAATCTATGGAACTTTTGGATGCCTGTGCGCTCACTGTTACAAGCCTATAAAGTATATGTGTTTCAAATGTTATCACGGCCCAGTTATGACATACAGAATGTTATCACCACCAACAAACAGAATGTTATCACCATCAACAAATGCCGAAATTATACAAGTTTTTTCTATAGACAAAATGTACCCTTTCTATATACTGTACCATCACATTATAGTAGATCTGCATTACAATGTAAATACAATGTAGGTAATGTGCTTGTACTTGTACTACATGAACTTAGACTAAATCTGCAGCTGAAAAGTTCTGCATTGACCAACTATCTTTACTTAATCCTGCCCCCTACGTACCTTTGGTGAGGTTGTACTCTACTGCAGTTAGTGTGGCCTTCTCCAGGGGGTCTCCCACCAGCCCATCCTCCATCTGTACCACAGAGTGACAGGAGGCCAGCACCTGCACGGTCTCCAGAGGTACCTCTGAGATGGGACACACCTTCTCCTTACCTCTGTACAGGGAACAGGGAGGGAGAGGGAGTGAGATGGTGCATGTGTGTGTGTACGTGTGAGTGACAGTGACAGTACACAGAACATGAACAGTTTGTGAGAGAGAGATAGTGCATAAGAGTGTACACGAGTGTCCAAAACATGCCGATACAGTCAACCTTGTATACAGTGACCTCTTGGCCACCATTGACAGATGGATTCTTGATGCTTAAGTCAATAGGAAAAAAGGACCAAAAAGTGGCTACAATATTAAGGTTGTTCTTAGGTTGTCATATATAATTCCTATTCAGTATAGGTTAAACTGTACCTCATATATAGATAAATTACAACACACTCCTTTGCTTAATGCTATCTCAAATATTATTAACCTTAACTAGATTTCAAAATAGTATGTTTGTTACATCACTATACAGAAAAAAAAGATACATGTAATTGCAATCTTGTAACTGCAGCAAAAGCCTATAGTGAGTCTTTCATTTTGTAACTGCATCAACAGCCTAGTGAGTAGATATTTAAAAAACTTTCTGTCATTTTAAAAGGTCTGCCATGACCTCCAACAGTATACAGGATTCCTTACTGTAGTCCTGCCACCCCCTCACAGTCAGCTTGTCTGACGTCAGGGTTCCTGTCTTGTCAAAACAGCAGATGTCAACCTTCCCTGCAAACGGGATCCTGAAGGGCTCCGTACAGAACACATCTGAAGAAAACATAGTGCAACAATCAGGACAAAACCTGTAGTGGTGCAGTTTCCAGGGTGCAATTGTTAAAAACCTATAGCTTAACTGAATTAGCAGTCTGGCTAACCAATTCTCTATTGGTTATGAGGTTCGAATTGAAGTGCATCGTCAGATACAATACTTTAAATACAGTTTGTGAAGCCTTATACAGCATTTTCACACTTTCCAGATCAGTGAAGTAGAGAGGTATTGACTGCCATATTGGTGTCCCCTATTTGCATTTCAATGGATCGTAGCTCAAGTGTACACAGTACACAATCATCAACATTTTTGTGTTCATATGCAAATTTTAAGACTAGAGTGTTCTTCTGGCAGTCTCTTCCTCGAGCTGTAGATATTTCACAGTAGTTATTTGAGATGATCAAAAGATCTTTGAATGTCCAAAAACACTACTTGAGCTACGATTCACTGAAAATGCAAATAGGGACACCAACATGGCGGCTGATGCAGCAATAATGACAAGTGAAAATACTCTACAGCATGTGTGAGTACTTACATAGTTTTGGAGAGTGCCAGTAGAGATGTGTTGACAGCCAGTGACAGTTCAATGGGCAGTTCTGGTGGAACTACTGAGGTCAGGATCAAGGTGCACTCCAGGAACAACTTGTACCTGTTCCTCTTAGGGTCCTCAGTACCTGGCAGGGAAAATGTAATCCCAACAAAATTATGGCTTATAATAATATTATCATAATGATTTTAACATGTAATGAGAAGGAAAAGAAGCATTGATTCTCTAAAAATCTTAAAATTTTTAATCATGTACTGGAACATCTGCATAGATGCCTGTGTTACAAAGAAATGGTTTTTAAGAGCTAAAACTAAAAGGACTGTGTTTTACCATTTCAGGTGACTTCATAGGTGACTACATTACCTAAGTGTATCCAATAGTCCCAAAAGTTAACCCCCTTGCAACTATAGACATTGTTGCACTCAATGTTTTGAAGTAAGGACCTTTAACAACTTTAATCTGTCCTAATCTTCCAATAAAGGGTAGAAAAAGGACACACTGACTGACTCTCTAGTTCAAAACTGACCTTGATCCACACATAAGAAGCTGCAGCGATGGCGAAGACCAGGAGGAACAGGATGAAGAAGAAAGTCTCCAGGTTGTGGCCGTCGACTCGCTTCACTCCAAACAGGATGGTTCTCAACAGCTTACCCTGTTGGACAAATTCCAAATTATATATTACTCTTAATATTTGGATTACAATAACCAAAACTCATAGTACATCAAGTAGAATTAAGAAACGTTTTTTTCTACTTACCTGGGAGGTGTTAAACCCTGTCCTTAGCACATATGCAATACATCCATTGTCAGGAGCTGGAAATAAAACCAACATTGAAAATCTATTAGCACAATAACCTATCTTGTGGATAAAACACATCATACTGGACATGACATGCAGATGAATGTATGGTGCGCATACACCAATATAACACCAAGCAGGCTAACTATGCTGTTTCACATGAAACAACTATACAGTAGTACCGGTAGGAACACTTTCAAGAGGATGTAGCAGTCATTTAAGTAGAAAAAAAAAACAGTATCAGACATCATAAGTAGACTGTTGAGCCCACCTTTCAGCCCGGCGGCAGTTTTCCCAGGTGGGGTGTGTTGTACCACCTTGGTGCCACCAAAGATGATGTGCAGTTTTCCATCTACGTCAGGGTCCAGGACATAGTCCGGCTCCAGGCTTTCCACAGGCTCCTGTCAAGCAACATAACTTGGTCTGCTAGTTGGATATCTTAGGGTACAGTTTTCAATCATCAACTTATGAAACTAATCAGTGTTCTAGCCAGTCTGTCTTTCTGTCATTTGACAGAAGTTTGCTGCTCATGATGGACAAAAGTTTTTCCCAAGCCAGCAAAAAGTTAAGATATGGAAAGAGATGAAATTAAACTTAGAGCTTAGTCTACCACTAAACTTTGCATACAGGAAGTAGAATTTGAGCATTAGGATTTTAAGATTTTCACAGGGGAGCATGACATATGCCTTCGGTGCTTCATATATATGATGTTGCATCAAACAAAATTGAGATGAAGGAAGAAAATTTCAGGATGGCTAGAAGACTGCTAATGATAACGCCTTCCCTTGTATGTGTCTACCATACCGGCGGTACATATACTGTACTTAGCCCTAGGTAGCATGTGTCTACAAGACATAGTTAGTTGGTATGTGTGTAATACCTTCATTTGTGGTACAGACTCCCCAGTCAACATTGCCTCATCCACGATGCATGGACCTCTCAGCAGTAACAGGTCACATGGGACAGGGTTGTCATGTTGGGAGCGTCCTAGTAACACATCAAAACAAAAATACATCATTTAAATCCTAAACAAGCAGAACACACTGTTTTCTTGAAGTGCTAGTTTTCCTTTTTTCACAAAACACAATCAAAATTTGGCAGAACGATTGTGATTACCTATAGAACAGAAGTCTCCTGGCACAAGTTCATCACTGTATCCTCTTTGGAAAATTCTAATAAAAATACCCCTGTGGCCCTGTAGTTCCAAAATTTAATGCTAGGTGGCCCAAACTTATGTTTCTTCTTTCTGAGCACAAGAGCTATCTACATGCATCACAGAATGATTGTGATTACCTATAGAACAGATGTCTCCTGGCACGAGTTCATCACTGTTGATGGGTCTCCACTTGCGGTTCCTGTAGACCTGGATGGGGAAGGGTTTGTTTCCCATCTTCCTGATCTCTGACATGTTCCTCATCTGCTGCTGCACCAAGGTCGCCTCGAAAGCCACCAGCATGAACAGGGTGAAGATACTGGAATGGTCACAGAACAAAGCCGCTGAGTGCAAGGTAGGAATTAAACTGATGCACCCAACTGTAAAGCGTAAACTGTAAGTTCTGTAAATCTTGACTTAAGTTCTTAAACACATTTTAGCTTTTAAGCCACATTTTGGCACCTTACTTACTACTGTCCAGTATTTCCCTGTCTTACCTGTAGTACCAGTACTCATCCAGACACCACAGTCCCACACAGAACACCTGGAACACGAAGAAGGGGGCCGTGGCTCTCTCCTTGAACAGCTCTGCAAAGTCTGGAACAACCATCTGTACTCTGGGGACAGAAAAATAAATAACATTCAGAAACTTAGAGAGCCAACTACTTACTTTGACCATTTTTAAATGTACCACTAGTGAAGGTGAAGCCCAAATCATGTCTCCTAATCTTGGCAACATCTTTAAACTAATCATGGAGCTGATTTAAATCTTGTTGCCAACACTCAAAAATTTACTAGGTTTGGAAGATTTAACACAAACCTCTTTGATACGCAATGAAAATCAGCCTGCAGACCAATTTGAGCTTTTCATGAATAAACAAAGGTTCAAAGAAATGTGCATATGAGATATATCCATATGATGATTGCAGCTCTTTACTAGTTTAAAGTGTTTTAATTCATACTCGTTTTTCCCGTATTTGGCGCTGGCCCTGCTGATGTCAGTCTCCTCCTGGTACCCGCGGCAGGACTGGTACACTCGCATTGCCAGGTCCACGGGAAACTCCACCGCACGGAACTGTTTCTTCTCCTCCCCATCGTACACATACTTGATCTTCTGGAAGTTGAACCAGATCTGCTCTTCTCCCGAGGTCTTGTCCTGAAGGTCAGATGCAGGTGGTATCTTGTGTGAGGACTCTTTAAACCTCTGTATTCTTGTGTATAGTCGTTTACAATGTAGTTGGGGAGGGGGGCATAAGAAATGTTTTCTTAAACTTGAAGTATAAATGTAGAGGGGGCTTTTTTTAGAGGTGATGTTTTTTGAGTATACAGTAATTATGCAAGAGGGGAGGGGGACAAAAGTGATGTTTTTTTGTGTATACAGTAGTTGTGTACTAGTAAGTGGGAGAAGGGTTTTGTTTCTCAAGTATCTTGGGAAAGGGGGCAAAAATCATGTACAAGGGGTAAGTAATGACTATATTTGATGTAAGGAAAGCAATAATACTATACCCACTTGTTTACCAGACTCTAACAAATAGAATGGTAAACTATGATTAAGCTGTGATTGATGATAATTACCTTGTCATGGTGCAGTCTGACCAGTTCAGCTGACCCGTTGTTAGGAGTGGGAACTACCTTTACCCAGCCAGCCTTACTGGGATCATAAGCCTGTGGAAACAAAATGAACAGCTAATCAAAATGGTAGTCTCCTGTATATATTTATGTCTAACATTACAAAGCAAGGATAACAACCTGTCAACAACAGGTGTCTGTTTAGAAAGGAAAATGTAAATCAAATTAGGCACAATACTACTCAACCAGTGTTATAATGTCTTGTTTTTGTTATCATAATTGGCATGATAGGAGTCCCTTAATTATGCGTGGGTGTCCACTGGGTGACATCTCAGCCTACATATACCTTAATTTAAATTTACCACATCAAGATAATTCGTCATATTTGTAACAGTACATATTTGTACCATATACTAACTTAAAAATCTAAGCAAATGCTATTACTCATATTGAATATTTTGACTGTACCTTATAAATTTGATCCTCTTTCTACTATACAAAGCTTAACCTACGTTTCTTTTACCAAACAAATTTGGAATGGTCCAACCCTGTGACATATGGTTTTGCCCCCCCCCCCATGAAACAAAAGTTACACGTAGCCATAAAGCATTATACGATCACCCTACGTACTATTTGAGCGAAAATCCACAAGATTGTCCTGAAGCTAAAACGTGAACTACGCCATACATAGCCAGACTAGTTAATATTCGCCTACCTTGTTACATATGAAGGTACACCTGACGTGTACCGACCAGTGGCAGAACAGGCACGCCAAAATCTGCACGATGCCGATCACCGCTAGCGCGATCAAACCGGCCTCGAAGTACTCCTCCACGCCGTACACACCCAGCCAGACGTACAGCCAGGCCGCGTAGATGACCAGGAAGGGCGCCACGTAGAAATGGAAGAGAAACGGGCGCAGATTGTAGAGAGAAACCCGCTGGACTAAATCGTCAATGGATGGCGCCATGTTGGATGTTCCGCGGAAATGATGAGGCTGACCTCTGACCTCAAAAAGTAGTAGGCGATGAGCTAACATAGACGTCTTTAGCGGAGTATAAAGGCATGTTTCTTTCTGTTAAAAAATTTGGAACAGTTTATTCGACTTTTAGAAACGGAGATTTTCGGAGTTGGAAATGGGAGGCTTTTGAACAGTACTGGCCTATTGGTTTAGGAATATGCACCTTGACTTGAAATTGTCTTGTTTTCGTGTGAAAAATTATGTATTACCTGGAAATTTGGACGAAACAACATATTAAATGTCTAGGCATAGATTGTCAAAGAGGTGAGCACTTAGCTGACATTCGTCCAAATAGTAGTCAACTTGCAAAGTCCCGCCAACCCCCTTGTAATACCAAGGTCCATCGATAGATGACCTTACTGCAAGTCATGCCCCTGGCTGCTGCGACATCAAAGTTATCATGGTTATAAAATATCGTCATTGGAGAATATACTCTCATCCTTTATTTCATGATATAGCAAAACCACATCATTTTTTATTCGTTCGTGACTCACTAAAGGACCATTCTATTAAACTATTTCCTTCATAGTTTTATCAAGAAAGCAAGCTATACAATCATACTTTCGCAGCTAGATCTATGTTCATAAATTACTCTGAAATGTCTGTCAATCAACATTGGGGATTTCACTCGCTTTTGTGCAATTGAGTTTTCTTGTTATTAAAAAGATTCGTGAATTGTTCAACGCCTCTAACTTACCATTACTGCAAATCTGCAATATAACGTAACAATATCAAGCCACTATTTTAGACTAAACTCTCTCCATACAGAGAGGATCATCACAGTACAGTAACCACATTGTGTATTGCCTGGCTCCGGATCCATACAGCCATGGGATGCTCTTTTATGCCGCCAATCATCTGAGGTAATGGGTAGACCGTTGCCAGTTGTTGCCTTACCTTTGTCTGAATACAGTTCAAATCAGCTATTCATTTGTGATAATTGCGCCACACAATAGACGGAGATTCCATTGATTTTTCTCCAACTACAAACGAAGGCGAAAGAGGGTTTCGCGTGACCTTCGAGGTCAGGTCGAACATTTAGTTGTAGAGAGAAGTTATTATCTGAATCGTACTGGGATCGATACCAGCACGGCTATTACTTCTAACACTCAATGAACGGGTCACAGTTTCTGTTGACATTCGCTACTGCTTTACTGGGTTAAACTTCTCCACGATAATACCCCTCGATCTATTATGCCCATATATGAAACGGCAGTATTCTATTTTTATTGCTAGTTGTTCTACAAAGTCTACAAAAATTGTACTTTGAAAAGTGTGCTTTTAAGTTATTTCTAAACCATCAGGCATTGATATAACGTTTCAAGCAGTATTTTGCATTCAAACATACAGAGGAAGTCTTTTAACATTTTCAGATGTGCCTTAGATGACTTAGATATGGATATATGCAGGTCTGTATCTGGTTTCGATCTGGAGTCCGGAATTTGAAGATTTATAGTGGTAGCTGCTGCAGTGCGAGAGAAATAAAAAGCGTAAGAAGATTAAATAAAGTGATACGCCTGGATATATAGCGGTGTGTTCGCATTTGCATTTGCCTTGTTATTTATATAGATTGGCCATCCTAATCTAGCAATATTGTTTTATTACGATACTTCAGTGAGATATTGCAGTGTGTTATATATAACACGCTCGGAGTCATATATAAAATAACTAGAGGGCTCAGAAAATGTGTTCAATAACATTTATTTGACATGTACTTGATAAAAAATCATGATCCATCAAGAAAAATCGATTGCATATTACGTATATAAAATAGTAGTTTATGATTAAAACGGTATGATCATTTTCCCTCGACATTGATTGATTGTAAGTAGTTCCAGATAAGCGACAACACTCTACTTGTGGATCACATAAACTCCCTTTGGATTCTTCTGTCGTCTTAGATATC